ATCAAACTGGTTGAATATGAGTTTAAAAAAAGTGTTACAATGAGACCGAGTTTCAGAAACGATGACACTAGCTATTACAGAACATTAACAGATAAATAAACGATATCAAGCAATTAAATCTCATTATATTAAGGAAGAGGACTAACCCTGTAACCCCTCACCCCAAAACAAACTTGACAACATTTAAATACGTTTCGGCAATCAGGTTTATTGACAGATTGTAGGTATTCCTATGGGCACCAATTAGTTTTCTCAATTGAATTGTTTCATATTTTTCATGTCGGGGCCATTTATAGCCGACTATACAGTACGGGGTTTTCTCATTGTTGCAGGCCGTACGGTTGCCTATAATTGCTTTAATCCACTTCATTTGAACTTTGGTGGTTAGTTGTCTCATTGGTAATCGTACCACATCTCCTTATTTTGATATTTAATAGCTGACAATACGAGATGGGTTGTGCTCATTGTTGAAGGTCGTACAGTGACCTATACTTGTTATCTTCTATATCATTTGGTCTCTGGTGGAGAGTTGTTTTTTAGAAGGTAACCATTGGTGCACACAGTGAGGTGACCATACATAAAGTTCAAAACTCCCCGGCAGTTACAGCTCTGACCCGGATGATAAACTATACTAACGTAGTAAACAGATAGTTCAAGAACGGAATCGATCAATGTGCACAGTTTGATAATGTTCAAGGAAGTCGGCTTTGTTCCTGCGACGAAGCAACAAAAACAGAAATCATACGCATTGACTGACTATTTCTTGCTTAATGGCATCTTAGTTTTTAACTCTCTTTTAACAACACTATTAAGGAGGTCCGAAATACTCTCCAAAAGAAATCTAAAATTGCTGTAATTTAAAAAAAGTAGCCAGCTATTTGTTGATTGGGAAATAGGTTAGATATTAATCATTTATCACACTTAAAGACTGTGCAAAGTGTGCCATCTATTCCAACCAATAAAAAAAGGAATAAACAAATGAAGAAATATTGTTTCCTATTTTTAACCACTGATTTAACTGATATATTTGTAGTATCATTTAGATGTTCTGTGGTATAGTTTGGTGAGACAGCATCCCAGCGACACAAATAACCAAAAGACATCTCGAGGCCAACCAGCACTCTTAAAAAACAAAGAGAGGCGAAAGATGAAAGATACAAAAGGTCAAACTCAATCGTCCTAAGTCTGTAAATTTTTGAATAAATCAGACATAAACTTGTCGAAGTTCTGACATCAGCAACAACTTCTTCAAACAAACAAAAAAGATGTAAAATAAAGTACCAACTTTTGAAAAATGTGCCAAAAAGTAATTGACACACATTCAAGAAAAAGTAAATCCCAAAACGGAAAAATATTTGTTTTCATGTAACATGAAAAGGAATAAAAAATGTTTCAAAACACTCAATGCTTATGCTTTCTGCTACTTGAAGTATTTTTTCTGTTAGACTATAAAGATAAGAAAAAAGCAGTGTTTTTTTTTCACAGTAAGAAACATGTACATGTATATCAAAACGTTCAGAAAAGGAGACGTGGGATAAACGTGAACACGACGGCGAAGAAATAAAAAATCAGCTAAAATTCACAATTAAACCTACCAAACCGCATAATCCCGTCCTATTTTCCTCTAATTTGCCCTACCAAATTTGACATATAACCGGATTTGTACTTACACAAGCAACACGACGGATGCCATATGTGGAGCAGAATCTGCTTACCTTTCAAGAGCACCCCATGTTGTTTGGTGGGGTTCGTGTTATTCAGTCTTTAGTGATTTATCTTGTGTTGTGTTTACTGTTTGTTTATTATTGTTTTTAGTATATTTTTGTATGCAGACATTTTATTCTTTACATTTATGCTCAATGGTTGTTAAAATGGTTATAAACTAAAATATACTGGAAATCAAAGCGCGGGAGAGCTTGAAAAAGCCATTTATGTAAATATCATTATGTTATGCTTCATTTCAAATTTCTTCTCAAAACGGTACTTTGTGCCTTTGTCTTTTTGTCATTTTTTTGGAGGTCTAGATACTAATCTGATTAATCAAGCCCCATCCAGCTGTTTTTCACATATCGTTCTTGTTTTATGATGTTACACATCTATCTCAGCTTTAGGAGAGGGTTGACACATTAGTTTTTGTGACTTTTAAATTACACCCTTATGCAATACTATATACCTGTCAGGAGACATTATTGTGTAGATTATTACGATTTACCTTATCATTTCCAACAAAAGATATCAAAAGCTGAGATTTAAAAATTAAAATCTTTTATTCAATGACGCAGAAAATAGTTTTTTTTTACCAAAAAGGCATACAATAGATAACAGGAATCACCAAACACAAACACCTCCGAAAAATTACAGACATACAACCAAAGACAAACAACAACAAACACCATATGATACAGATCTCCTAACTTGGTAAAAACACACAAATTTGTTGGGTTAAACCAGATTAACGTGCGCACACAATTCTCCTTTACCTTTGTAGACTGTAAGTCGAAATTTAAAACATATCGAACGTTTGTTTTTTTTTCCTGCACAATACACATGTGCACAAGTATCCCTCCTTTCAACAAGTACATTATAAGACCCTGTATCACAAGTCACGAAATAATTTCATAACAAATAACACAAAGGAAACGATTCTTAATCAATCTAAACACTTTTACAAGTATGAAATTAAAAAAAAAAGATGACTGCATTTGATACTCAGTCAGAGGATACCTGGTATCGTCAATCAGATTTTGGGAACAGTTTTTCATTACGAATGTTAAGAAAAAATGTGGGTGTAAATATTCTATCAAGTCCCATATGTGGTGATATCAACAAGTTATAATCATTTAACACATCTGTTAGACGCAATAGGGGTCAATGTCATCGAAAATATACACAACCTGAATTTAATACCGTGTCCAGGAATGGTCTGTTATCGTTTGTTAAAAAACATCTATTCTATATATTTGTACTAAACTATTTCCAAAGCCATTCTTGCAGCTCAATTCACTATTTCATTTAGGTGTGTATTTATATAAGCAACACGACGGGTGCCACATGTAGAGCAGGATCTGCTCAGACTTCCGGAGCACCTGAGATAATCTCCGGTTTTTTTTATGGGGTTTGTGTTGCTCAGTCTTTGGTTTTCTATTTGTGTTCTGTAGGCTGTTGTCTGTCTTTTGGTCTTTTTTCGTTTTTTGCCATAGCATTGTCAGTTCGTTTTCGACTTATGAGTTTGACTATCCTTTTGATATCTTTTGTCTCTCTCTTCCGAAGGCAAACACATTTCCGTATTTGATACAAACTCGACTTAGTACAGACTGGTTGCACTTATTATGAACATCATTAATAACAAGGTATTAAGATTCATGACAAGAAGTCGCAAAGATGAAGAAAATAAGAGTCAATATTAACAATATATTCCACCAAAAAAGTCTGTACAGAAAACAATACCTTATTACTCGAAATATAAAGCTACACTTGTCATTTACACCAAACCAATTGCCTCTAACATGTTCAACCACAAGAGGATATAAGAGATCTTGACCTTGAAGATGTTGAATCCAAACCTCCACTTTATTGTTTTTGTTCAACGCCCCCCCTAAAAAATGTCCTCTTGATCATGTTATAACCGGTGCCCTTAACATCATAAACAATGAAAGACTTTTGAAAATTATTAGCCAAATACATGTACCCAAATTATCGAGTTACCCAGCCAGTCAACATGAAGAACTTCATGTTACTGATGGATGTACAGAAGACGACATCATCAAAACTCTTGTATTTTTGATCGACAACATATTTGTTGAGTTTGGTGGATCCACATTTCAACAATGCTCGTGTATTCCAATGGGTACTAATTGTTCACTCCTACTGACTAGTTTTTTAAAGCAAAACTCATACAAAACCTTCTCAAAGAAAAAATGAAAAAGCATTTTCCAAAACTATTTAATATCCTTTTCAGATATATTGGTGATTTCCTATCACCCAATAACCCATACTTAAGTGAATGCTTGTATCACCTATATCCTAGTGAATTTAAAAAAAATAAAGATACTACCGAACTAGAAAGTCTGCCTCGTATCAGGATTTTGTTCTTGATATTGACATATATTGTCGACCTTAAACTAGAATTTTATGACATGATGATTTCAGCTTTCTATTTATCAGTTACTCACCCTCGATCCCATCGTATGATACTTAAATGTATTAATTGATACTATACTTTTGTGCATATTTACACTATTCTGACCTCACCTATAGGGGTGTGCTCTTGACACAAAAACTGCTCTAACAGAGTTGTCATGAAGAACGACTGAAATCGACTGTACATAAATTTTACGGTCAACTCTGCAAATTTGACGAACTTTATAATGTGTTGGTGTCTCAAATCAATTGCGTCCTGTTTTCACGGTTATATTTTGATAAATACCAGAATAGCTGTCTGATCTGTAAGTTTACCGATCGTATCCTATTCCTGATTGTGACATTTTGATAAGAATGGTAGGTAATATATGGGTTGAGATCTCAAAAAACATGTTGAACCCCGCCGCATTTTTACGCCTGTCCCAAGTCAGGAGCCTCTGGCCTTTGTTAGTCTTGTATCATTTTTAATTTTAGTTTCTTGTGTATAATTTGGAGTTTAGTATGTCGTCCATCATCACTGAACTAGTATACATATTTGTTTAGGGGCCAGCTGAAGGACGCCTCCGGGTGCGGGAGTTTCTCGCTGTATTGAAGACCCATTGGTGGACTTCGGCTGTTGTCTGCTCTATGGTCGGGTTGTTGTCTCTTTGACACATTCCCAATTTCCATTCTCAATTTTATTTTTACAACAGGAGACACTTACCCTGAAGTCATGACATTAAATAACTCTTCTGCAATCATGAACTTGTTATAGTATAGGGCTTCCAATTTGAATTAGTACGAATTATGAAATTGGAAAAGAAATTATTTTGTATGATTCTATTTAATAGAAGATGTCCAACTGGAAACTCTTCAATGAACTAGTAACATGCTTTGGCCTGAAAAAGAGAAAAATATGTGTTATACATATAAGCGTTTTCATATAAAATTAATATTTTGATACTCTAGTAATCTAGACAAATATGATTTCCCCGGTATATCTACGAATATATTGCCACAACCATTCGATTGAGTAAACAGTGATGTTGAACACAACTTGAACTTTAGTACATGGTTTGTTCAGTTAACTCGTACCTTAAACTTTTATATTATGTAGGGTGTAAGAACCAAAACCTAAAAAATATCATCAGGATTTAATTCTCATTAAATTTGCAAGGTTGTTGGACTTGCATGCATGGTTTCAACATATGTCAATCTTGAACTGTTTGTACACACTAGTATATGAAATTTGTGCATATTAACTTGTATATCATCAATTTTAAATTAATAGTGTGCATATTTTTGAAAACTATGCACGCTATTAATCTATATAATAGATCATAGCCGTGGGAAAACAAAGATAAATGACAACAGAAACGATAAAAAAAAACCTTTTGTAAATAAGGCAAAAATACTTTTCCGATCATTTATTCTTATAAATCGATTAAGGATGTTCGCTCCTCTTGTTTTGAAATTTTTTCCAGATATTCTGAATCCTCTGGTTTTATTCACGAAGGGGCCATCACAAACTTTACCCGCTTACCCCTGCTTTTCTTTTCATAATTTTATTACATATAGTTTAAAAAGCCATATTTGAAAATGTAATAAAATTCTTGATATTTTTTCATAGTTTATGAAAGAAAAAGGGTTCCAATGTTAAATGTATGAAAAATCTAGACAGAATAATTTCCTGCCAAATTCAAATGGCTTCTATCTCGAAAACAAGCACACAGACACTTAATTAAAAATTTTTCTGCCTTTTTAATCTCTTTATTTATTTACTATCCACTTATAACAGTCTTTTAAAAAGCTTGTTATTTTGAAAGAGAGTATCGAACATCATTAAGATCACAAAACAAGGTAACAAACATAAAATGAACGAATTGCATTAATGCTAAAAGTAGTGAGACAGGGTAAATCACAGGGTTAACGTCTCCTGCTATCATGAATCCCCCGCCATGCGACTCAACGCTCAGCCAAAATATCACAATCGGGAACAGGACTCATACCCATTATCATAGTGAAGAGTTTTTGCTCGCATATTTATTAAGAATTAATATGAGTTATTTCTCTCTCAGCTTCTTTCTTTGACAACAAATGTCCCAATTTCAGATTTTTTTTTCAATAATCAAACCCATCGATGAGTGTAAACCTTCATACACATTTGAAAAAGAATCTGATAAAAATGACGGCGCCATCATGGCCACAAAAAAGTGATGACGGAAGGAACACTGAACAGTACTTTTGCAAGTCTAAACAATCTATGAAACAGAGACATGTAGTTGTACCCGAAGAGTAAACAGTTTAAAACCATACTTCCGAACTATCTTGTTATTCAGATAATAAGGCAAACACAGGTCAATGATAAGAACATGAACATACAATATACGTTGGTCGACTAGTTTGTAAAACTAAGTAACACTTTAAACTATCTGGTTTTAGTTTTATAAAAAATATACTGTGTGTTGTAAAGTTTTTACAGAAACAATGATCTCATGCGTACCGTAATCAATACATATCTAAGCATAGATTAAAACCAGTGAACCTTAAACAATGTTTATAATGTGTATGCTAAAAACTTACAATTGGAAACTCGCAAATATATGCCTCGTTTGAACTTCCAGAACAATTATCAGCGTCCCATTCAAATACACGTTTTTCCACATCCCACTCAAGTTCGAAACAATTTTTAATATTAAAATGAGGGTTACCACTCAATGCTAAAAGAAAGTTTAAATGCATTAAATGTCAAAAGCAAATTTTTTATAATATTGATAGAAAAAAAAAGACTTTCTTGTTCTTCTATATATGATTTATTTAAATATTGAATGACAATACATTACATTTGAAGTATGTATATCTGTTAAAATCCGATGAAATCTAAGTTAAGAACATGTCATATGACCATATCGAAAAGATTAACATTAAGTTATGGGGATAGCTATGTTGAAAACTGTTTAAATAGAACATGACAGATTGAAATGTGAGAAAAGGTCTGAACTTTGATTGATTATGGAACTTTCAAATACAAAATAATAGATGAATTTTAGTCTGTTTTGTACATTTTCCTATAACAGCTCAATTTTCAAACAGTTTCAGACATTCCATAGATATTTTGTCAACCCGAATAGGTTAACAGATGTATTGATATTCATTTGCATAAGGTCGATTTCTATCCGACGCAGCCTTTGTGTAAATGAGTTTCCTTGTCAATTCCTTAGCCAGGCGATATATCCCTGTACTACTTAAGGTAATTGTTAATGTATATCGATGCATAATCCTATGAATACACCCTTAGACATCTGTACAGTATATATACACAATTCATTTTTTCTTTTGTATTTTTTCCTTACATATTGTATACAAAACAATAAATTTTCCCAAAAATATTTTCAGTTCATTTCTTCTCCAATTTTCATGAAATTTCTACTAATTATTTAAAAAATATTTGCAGTTTCATATGGCTACTTTCAAATAATTTTTGATATTTTAATATTCAAGATTCATGATTTAATTACAAACTTAATTTTTATGTCACAATATTAAGATAATTATACATGTACACATACATATATGAACTTGTTTTACAATTCGAGAAAACAACAATGAAAGAACTAGAAAACATCAAATATTTCGGAGGTTGGAAGTTTCATGAAAATCTGTTAAGAAGGAACTTCAAAGTATTTTTCTTAAATTTACAAATGTGTATAGAATGATAGGGAATATGCTGAAAAAGAGGATTAACAATAATACCAAGGTGAAATCAAAAAGGGGAGGTCCATAAAACCTGCTTAAATCAAACGTTATACTATATCAACGAATTGGACGAATGGAAAATAACTGGCTTATTCCCAACTTGGTGCAGGAATTTTCCGAAGAAAATGTTGGGTTGAACCTGGTTTATAGCTAGCTAGCTACAGGAAGGATTTTTTTTTATATGCTGCACAACAGTAAGAAATACATTTCAGCAAGAACCAGAAGGCTGATTTGGCATTTCATGATGAACATGTGTACTAAGTTCCATGTTAATGTGAGCAAAAACTACCTTCAACCAAAATTTTTATCCTACCTTAAACATTAACCGGATATAAGCAGACGGATTTTCAGACCGGAAAAAATATGCCCTCTTTTTCTTGTTAGCGGTACATAAAACAACATTGGTTATTGAAAAAAAATCTCCAAATGTCAATGCATGTATAAATTTATTTCACATTTCATGAATTTCCCAGTTAGTTTTTTTTTAACTAGAAATATATAATTGTATTAATGAATAATGTTAAAGCTGTAAAATGGTCAATATACATACGTATACCAAATGGTAGATTGTTCGGGTCAAATGTGGCATTTGTTACTGCATAAACATAACTGTATCTGTCAGCTAGATTGTTTGCTCCAGTGAAAACATCAAAATCTCGTAACTTTCCTGCAAAAGATAATAATTTATTGACAACATTACTTATAATCATTTATCGTAAAAAGGGATCTTTCTTTGCATTACTGTATCTGATTTGAAACATGTATCTTTGATGTAGTTTGAAATATGATTTCTCAGTTTTGTGTTTTATTAGTTGCTTTATTTTGAACATCAATCACACGCTTTTTCTACAAATCGTTGATGAATATTTCTAATTTGGTAAGAGAATATACAAATCGTTGATGAATATTTCTAATTTGGTAAGAGAATACACAAATCGTTGATGAATATTTCTAATTTGGTAAGAGAATACACAAATCGTTGATGAATATTTCTAATTTGATAAGAGAATATACAAATCAAACTGCATTAATTGTCATATCAAATATTATAACTAAAATGCTAGTAGCTATAATACTACTAGTATGTTTGAATTAATATCATTTATCATTCAAATAATAAGGGTGATAGAAGGAACTTATTTGTCCAATTAATAAAACGATAATAGAGTAGTACTCAACCCGAATAGAAGTGGACTATGGCTTAAACCTAGGACATAATATGCTATTCCGATCTTAAACCGAGGCTACAATTTCGACACAACATAATTTTTATTATTAAACTGGCTGCCAATTAATTGGAATATATAAAGATAATCAAAATAACGTCCATCAGTTTCTACAGCCTGAACCGTAGAAAAATTTCCAAATATTTAAAAAGAAAAAGAAAAAAGCTTCATACGACATGTTTATGACATGCAAATGACATGTAAATGACAATGGGTGAGCTAAATGTCGAAACACATACTATTAATTAAGGAACATTTAGTGAGCAAGCTCACATACCTCACGCCCCCATGTAAGGCGGACAACCTTAAATTTGTCTGAAGTAATATTTTTTTATCTGCTTACTTTAAGGTATCATTCCTTTCTGTAATGGTTTCAAACAGTACTATTGTCCTGCATACATCTATATTTAACCACCGCCTCGTTGGTCTCGTCGTAGCGTGTTCGCCTCGAGTGCGGGAGGTCGTGGGTTCGAACCCCGGCCGGGTCTAAACAAAGACTTTAAAATTGGTTTTTTCTGCTTCTCCGCTATGCACGGGGCATTAAGGAGTAAGATCAAAGACTGGTCGGCTCGGATTCAGAATAATGTTTCCAATTAAGGTGACATGTCTTCCTGCGGACTGTTACCTTGTGAACTAGCACGTTAAAAATCCGGCTCAGCGTGTCGGTCCAGTGCAAAGCAGGATTAATATTCATATTACATTAACATGTTCTCGTCCTGAATATGCATATTAATTTGCCACTGGACGTAAATCATCCATCCATCATCATCATCATCATCTATTTTAGCATCTTTGATATACACCTTATACCTTCTTACTTCAAAATTCAAAAGGGATCTACCTCTTATTATATGTGACCACAAATCCCAAAAAGGTTCGAATTCAAAATGAGGTATTTGATTTAACATTTGGAAAACATTTTTTTGCACAAATGTTTGTCTTTTTAGGTTACTATGGCACTTACCAAAGACCTTAACGGATAACAAAAAATCAATATGGATCTTCCTCTAATTATATGTAACCATTTATCTGAGTAAGGTTGCAACCTGATATCAAGTATTTGATCTTGCATCCTTAAACAAAAACGACTGACGGACCGGTAAAAACCTATATTATATCCTCGCTACTTCGTAGTGTGGATATAATAACAGCTGCACTGACTATTACGCTTATCTCCGTCTTCTCATTGTAAAAAAAAACTATTAATATATACTACACACAACAGCTGTAGTGGTTATAAAGCAAAGGAAAGCTTTTCCTGACAAATTATAATTTTAATTCTATGACAAAATAAGAAATGCCATGGACTTTTTATATCAAACCACAAAAATAAGTAGAACTAAGCAAAGTAAACTTAAAGAACTTTCAGAATAAAAAATGAATTTTCTAATGATTTTTTTGTTGAAAGAAGGTCCTTAACAATTATATGAATAAAATAAAATGTGATGAAAAGGTCAATGAGACAGCAATCTAACAACACAATAACCAAAAGACATATACAAAACTATGTAATAGACTAATACATTTACTACAAAGTTGACTTGAGACAACTGCCTACCATATATATCAAATTTGACAAAAACTGCTTCAGCCTCTTCTCTTGTTTCTGGAATCCACAAGTAAGCACCAGGAGTACTGGTGCATATCGCCTAGACAGAAAAAATAAATAAAACGTGTTTCACAACGCATGCAAATCATTTTGGAATGTTCTAGACTTAAGAAGAGTCATATTTTTGAAAATGTATATCTTTTTTTTTCCATCGCAAATAGTGCATTTATATAGTTCTTGAGAGATGACAATTCTATTTGACATTCTAGTCAAAACAGCAAAAACTAGTGCGATATGTCCATATCTCTTGTACACTTTCATGCACCCGTCATACAGTGAAACAAGTTTAAGAAACATCTTGTTACTTTTAATTAAAATACGACAATATGCTAACCAAATTGCAACACCAAATTTAGTTTTACAGCTGATCTCCCGAGTAACTTATACTGCATGTGACTATATTTTTTTTAAAGTTTCTTCAACATGTTGATAATTTCAAAACATCGGAAAACATGAAATATCGCTAGTTGTCTGACGGATCTGAAAAGTGTTTACACTCTACCATTCAAGACTGTCAAACTGCAGACAAAAATGAAGTCATTCTGTTCAGTAGTAGATGAGAAAAGTATGACAGAAATTATAGTTGAACGAAAATACGAGCGGACAGAAAGGGCAGACAATTGAATACAATATAACCCCCAAAAAGGGATGGTATCAATTTATAGTTTTAGTTTAAACAAATTACGATTTCAATGTAATCACATTTACTAGTATCCACAACTGCAGCACAACTCTTAAACCAGAAATAACCACTGTCAACAAAAATTTTGATCTGCAGATTGTGGTCCATGAGTCGATTGAAATAGTAATTCTGTCAAGCGGGACATTTTTATCGTCCAGACACAAAATGAATCCAACACTTGTTTTGAAGAAACTAAAAACATAATTAAATTCAAATTTGTCGAAATCACATTTCAGTAGAAGTTTAAGGTCCTCGATATTAGTTGAAGATAATAAACTTAAGTCATTATTGGGACACTAGACAAATCTAACTGAAAGGGCGTAAATCTTGAACAATGGATGCCAAAACCCTGTATTTTATTGTTCGCGACATTGTTTTTAAACATAAAAAAATATTGTGTCTAGTGTTACATAATCGTTATGTGGAATCCAAAATAATTCCGATTTTTTAAAGAAGATTAGGTGTATAACTCTACCACAAAAATTGAAATAGACTGGTGTTTTATTGTCCATGTCATTCTTTCAAAAACTCGAAAGATTTAGATCAATAGGTACTTTTATCATCATCCGGAAACCAAAATGGTGAAAGACGAGCGAATGAACAAACAGACAAACAAAAGAACATTTACATCACTTTATATTATTAACAGGAATTAAGTGCATTTCTACAATTTCAAACAATTTAAAAAAATAGACCCCAGCATATAGATGATTAAAAACCAAAGAAAGAAGAATGGGCTACTTATGAATTTAAGGGAAAGAGTAAATGAACTATCCCGTCCTTCTCTTTATATTATTATTTTTATAACCGCAGGGTTAAGCTCAAACTAACAGTGACCCTTTTATTTACGAAGGCTCCTGGCATCAGATGTAATCGTTAACTGCTGTAGTTCAGAAGTATTAAGGTACTACCCAGGAAGGTTTCATATAAAGTTTTTCGTTATTTAGAAACAAAGTGGAAAATACAGTCTTCTTTTAGTCTGTAGCTTCCTCTGAATACCTATAGGGTTACTTAATTTATATCCTTCAACTCCTTGCTTTATATCCATAACTTTCTCTTATCTTTCGCAAAGTATTCAAACTGTATTACTGTTTTTGATATGTTATACATTATATGTTTGCAGTTTTTACCTGCGGCGACCTATTATGTTTATTTGAATTACGATAATGTAAACGTATATTTTAACTTATAGGTTCTTGTCCTAAAAATACTGGTGTGTTGTATGAAAAACTCACATTTGCTACATGCCAATCTGTTCTATCCGTCCTATTGCGGCCTTCAAAAAGGTAACAATTTGGGCTAATACTTTGATTAGTCAGTTTCGTGTATCCATCTGGACATGTTGTTGGCAGAGTTTTGCAGGGGGCTATAAGAATAGAATAAATTAAAAATAACTCTAATTAACTAACTGATACTGTTTCCTGTTGTTTTTTTTTGTATGTTTATTGTTACTTATAAATTTGTAAACGATTGCCTAAGTAATGCTACAATACATAAAAAGTAAAATAACAAAAAATACCGAACTCCGATGAAAATTCAAAACGGAAAGTCCCTAATCAAATGGCAAAATCAAAAGCTCAAACACATCAAACGAACGGATAACAACTGTCATATTCCTGACTTGGTAATAGAAACTATTTCAGTGCGCAATACAGTTTTTAAAGTTAAAATCTGAAAAACCTTTGGCGCACGAAATTCATGAAATGTATTTTCAATTGTAAGATATGATCCAGTCCTAAAGTTCACTCAGTTAATCACAAAACATATTAAAGCATATAAACCAAATAAGCATCCAAGTCTAACTTTGCTTTAGGAATTTTACATACACGTCCTTTACAATACTGGCGTCAAACTACAAACATTCAAGGTCACTCATTTTTGATTTTCATAATGATGATAACTTATTTGTAAATTACACCTATATTGTCAAAAACTATACAAGAATAAACATTAAACAAAAAAAAACCATTGTCATGATCATGTAACTTTAAATGTACATAGACCTAATATCAAAAATAGATTGTCCATCCAAAAATCAAATACCCAACAAACTTCATGCTTAACACGATTAGACCATGCATAATTGATCCAAATCCATGGAAAAATAATCCTATTATTACAGTAAAAATAGCAAAAATGCACCTGTTGTTGCGCTTATCATACCCCACTCCTAATTCAAAGTATCGGCAAACAGGAAGTAGATGTGTGACAGGTCTTAAAAGCACCCACATTACCACTCACTACCAAGCTGCTGACCAAACATAAAGTCTTTCTGTTTATAATAACTCGAGAAATGTTCGACGAAAAATTTAAGTTAGTTCAACATAATATTGAAAAATCAAAAGCATGACAAAAAAAAGGAGGTGTCTTACAGATTCTTAAAAGTGCCTCGCACGTTACAACTAACCACTGTTGAGATGTTGATCATAAATGAAATAATTCTGTTCAGTAGTACTGGAAAAAAAAGTGTGACGGAAACATCTGTTGGACGACAGGAGGAAAGGAATGACGAAAAAACAAGGTTCATAAATGCAATATTTCAAGGTATAAAGTCATAACAGTAACATTAACAATTCTACAGGAAGAATATTACAATATAAGAGAAACAGTAACAATATTACAGCAAGAATAACAGTATAATCTTCCTAAATGTCTGTAAAATAATTCTTTTAATGGGCTAAATATTGATAATTAGAAATTTCATCATTAACTAAATCTGCATTTTTCAACTTGATAACACAACAAATCATTATTAATTTAGAACTGTAACAAGTTTACCTTTACACCTTCTGCACGGATTTCCCTGGCCATAGTACCCATATTTCTCACCGCTTAATTCGTAGTTGTACTTTGCCTTGACTTTGCATTTGACTTTACCATAGGGTTTACCTATACAGAATTGTATGCTCAAAATAAATATATTGACTAAAAAGAAGATATTGAAAATGATTTCAGTACATACAATTAAGTGTCTCTACAAATTGGTACATTCTTAACTCAAAACATGACGTTAATTATCACTTTTTAGTTATGGTAAAAGAAAGACAACTATTTACATTCTGCAAGTAAATTAACAAATCATAGATACCAGGAATAAAATGTTGTACTCTAGACAATCGTTTCGTCTACAAAAGACTCAGTGACGCTCGGATTAAAAATATTAATTTGCCAAATACGGTTCGAAGTTGAAGAGCATTTTAAGAACAAATTCCGAAAGGTTTTGCCAAACACAACTAAGGTTATCTAATTCTGGGGTAGAACATGCTTAGTATTTCGAAAAAAATATTGACTTACAATCCAATAATAAGATAGCGACGTTTTTCAGCGTAGTTTTGCAAACTTGAACCAAACTAACTACTAATAGCGAATGATTGTTTCAATATTCCGCTTATATAAAAGTTTGAAATAAAATGTTTTTATGTGTTGTTTTGTAGCTAATGCCCCTTTGAAAGATAAAACTATAAAAAAAAAATGGACAAATTAAAATGATGTGATGTCAAGTTATTTCTAAAGTTATTATTGGTTTTGTCTCCAGCTTCTTTTCTTCAAGTTTCAGGCTTGTGAAAAATAAAATGTTTAAAAAACCTAGACAAAGGAAAAAGATTTCTTTTCTTTTCTCAAAAATAAAATAAACGTGACCACATTTTTGCTTTCTTGCTTCACACAAGAATAAGACAATTTACAGAAAGATTATGAAATCAAGTTGAATCTGATATCTGTTTAATTATGAATTAATTGATCTCTGTCATATCATCAAATTTCTGTTTTCGATCCCGTCATGAATTACATGATCTTTGTCACTTCATGAATTATCTAATCTCCGTCCCGTCATAAATAATCTCAGCTGTGTCCTGTTGTTTATTGCCCGTCATGAGTTGGTTTTGGATTGAATCAAGTCTAAAACTCTTTATTTGAAAAAAACAATTATTTTAAGAAAAACTTTTAAAAAGTCTTAGATTGCATTTCTTTTATCAATATCATTAAAAGGAGATGTTAGATATACTTCAATGAGTCAGAAATCCGACTGTAATAACCAAACTAAATGCACCCATATGGCAACACATAGTATTATGTCTTTAGACAGGTGCCTAAACAATATATCAAGCCGACAGAATAGAACTATATTGGTTATCTTTATCTTTACCCTCTTTTCTATTACTAATCAGAAGTATTAACGTCATTAAAACAATATCTTTGTAATCCATGATTTTTCCCCTTCAAATTAAACACTTACCTTCAGAATGTTGAAAAATTATTAAGCAGACCAATACGACTACAACTTGAATCTTCATTTTACTGCAAGTATCTTTATATTTTTTAACGTTGATTTCTGCAAACTAAAGTTTGTTATAAGCCTTAAAATTTCAGTTTATATCGTTCATAGATATGCTGCGGCAAAAAAAAAACAGGTATCATGTGTATCCAATCAAATGTTGACAAATTTTATCACTCACAATTTACCTCCTGATTAGTGGTTGTTTTCATAATGTAATACATCATAAAAAACAATCAAATGTTTGTTTTCATCAGCTACACTGTCATTACAGTGTTATGCGTCATGTGTGAAATTGCTGAGAAAAAAAGTAATAACGTACAGAATGTTATATTTAAAAACTTATTTTCGTACAGGGCATGTAGGGGTTAACACGCAACACATGTTATAGGTCATGTAGGGGTTGATACAAAACACATGTTATAGGGCATGTAGGGGTTAACACAAAACACATGGTATGGGGCATTTAGTGGTTTACACAAGGGGTTAACTCGAAACACATGTTATAGGTTATGCAGGGGTTAACACGAGACATATGTAATAGGTCACTTAGGGGTTGACACGAAACACATAATCATACATCAACAAAAATTGTAAATTTGGCCTTTATCGCTGACCTAATGATTTTTTTCAGAATTTTTAATTTTACACCTTTGCTTTGTGTGGAACACCATAGAAAAAAATCCGGAACACTCGATTTACATAATCCGGAAATTCAGCTCCGTCTAGTTTTATTGAGTTCTCTGTTTATCTTATAATCTAAAAACTAAAAATTGGGTCATCCTCTCTGACCTGGACACTCTATTATTCATTTTGGATATTTAAGGAATTTGCAAAGATTAGATAAGAAGTTGTATGTATGCAAACATTTCTAGCTGTTAGTGAAATTGGGTCTCAGTGGAGCAGTGGAATAACCTGTCTGGCTGTCAGATTTTACAATGACCTGGTAAAGACACGTTCTTCAAACATTTGAATGCTTTTAAGTCATCTTTAGATAATGAGAACTGTAACCAGTATAAGTAAATATCATGCTTATTGCGCACATCTATACAAGTCTTATTCTTTATAAGTGTTTATGCTAACAGTATTACATGTGAAAAATTTCTCACTACGACATTTCCAAGATGAGGGGTCTGTCATTTTAAATGTAAATATGTCTCACACTCTAAATTTACCAAACATAGTTCTCAGTCTCTTTCTTAGCGAATCAAATTGGTTAGAATATACAAAATAATGATATATAGAAATGTTAATAAAATGATATTTGTTATACACATGCAATTATGCAACCTAGTTTCGACATGCAAAAGGTGTGACAGAGGTAATCTTTTTTGATGAATTGATAAACCAACAAACGGACAAGGAGAATCCAATTCATTTTATTTTATCTAATTTTGAAGGTCTTATTGAAAATTAATCGTTCATTAAATAGGGTGTCACGAGCATCAAAGCAAGTAAAATTTCATTTTTGTATTGACTGAAATGTAAAAAACTCATCATAGATACCAGGATTGAAATTTTGTATTTGCGCCAGACGCGCGTTTCGTCTACAAAAGACTCATTAGTGACATTCGAATAAAAAAAAGTTAAAAAGGCCAAATAAGTACGAAGTTGAAGAGCATTGAGGACCAAAAATTCCTAAAAGTTTTGCCAAATACAGCTAAGGTAATCTATTCCTGAGGTATAAAAGTCTTAGTATTTCAAAAATACAAAGTAAATGTTTGCTACAGTGACTGCTTCGTTTTAAATTGCTTGGATAAGAAACACCTAATGAGTTTAGACAATGATTAAATTGAATCATAGTTGTTTTTTCTTATCTTAAGTAAACATGATAAAGTATTTAGTGAACACATGACCAGTTAATTCACACGGGTTCACTCTACCAGATTGCATGTATATTCACCCCTAATTATATTCTTTTTGTAGTTAAAATGTACCAAACAGGAAAAAAGAAATCATCTACAGATTGCTATTTTGTCTGAATTAATTGAAGTTTAAAGTTATTGTCTCTCATCATGTCTTCTTTTGAAAGTTCTCAAATATTAGGATAGTTTGAGTGCATTACACATAACTTGCACTTTTTGTTGAGTCTGATGAATTACTAAGCATAGTTGAGTTTCTTTAAGAGTAATGTGCCGAGACTTTGATCCCATACCGGGAGAGTTAACAGATTAGCTTCTGCTTCTGATGCATCCATTTCGTTGGAATGTCTTTTCAGAAAATAAGAATAAATATATTGACACAACAGCATTTTTTACTGAAAGTAAAATACGGAAAAGTCAGGATAAAATTTTGCGGCTTTTTTGTTTATACATGCAAGTGCGTTGTTGTAACAAGGGTTGTTATGCTACTGCATTATGAGTCATGAAAGAAAAGGTAGACAGCAAAACCCTAAATACAAGTTTTATGCATGTATGCCTCAATTGTACAACTATTTTCTGATTGAAGGATAGAATTGAATAGACCTATGCCTAGATGTTTTCCACTGGTCGACACCAGCCTCGTGTATATATATATTTATCAACAGAAAAGCTTTCTCACTCCTATAAATATTGATGTAGATGTGAAAAACTTGCATTCATCCATACAGCAGTGTATATTTGGAGAATATACGTTCATAAAAAAGTTACCACTTTTTGGTACATGCAATTTTACACTGAGGTATATACATCCACTGATATACATATATGTATATATTGATTCAGTTGTGACGGTAATAGACACTGAAAACATTTTGTAGTTTTGAATGTTTGTCAAAACTTTAAATGTTTTTAGTGTCTATTACCGTTTACTATAAGGTGGAAGTTTGTTCTTATTTCAAGAAAGGGGCACTCAGCATATATTTATTTGTGGATGTAGCGACATCTACCTGCTGTTTACTGACTATTTTTAACACAGCTATGTGGAAGTTTTATATATATATATATATACTTTTATTTACAAATAATATAATTAATTGACATGTCTATTTTCAGGATCTCAAAAGCGAGTTGAAATATACCAAACATTGCTACTTGCAATATGATGCTTGGTGGTTTTGTAACACTATTTAACCATCTGTTATGCCTACTGAAGAGTTTTGAGTGCATCTGGTCATTCATTTATCAATATTGACTAAATTTACAATGCCTAGTCAGTTTCTTAAATTATCTTTAGCTTTTCAATTTTTATCATTCCTTCGTTGATTTCTTTATTTGTGTGAATGTTAATTACCAGATTACAGGAAGGTTTATTTTTATACCACAATAAAACTGCATCCTAGAGGTTTCGTTTATATTTTTATCCGCATTACAAAAGCCTTGAAACAAGAAAAATTCTGCAATACCTTTTTCATTTCAAATACTACAGAATCATAGCTTATATTTCTTTTAAATTTGTTATAAATTATTTTTAGAAATTAAGAATAATAAACAAATAAATTGGATTTACCATGTTATTGAAATTTTTTTCATACTGGTAATATTTTCTTATATATGACTTCAACCAAGCCTTTGAGAAATCTAAGAAGAAGCCATTTTCAAAGAAATAATTAAATACATGTTAAATACAACAGAAGAACGGTATTATCATTACTTAAAACTATTAGATATCTTCTAACAATTTCGAAATATACTGGAATAATTTTTAACTAATTTACAGTTCCAAATATGAAATGACCACCACAACGAACATAAATAGAACCATATGAAAAGAACATACATACAGGTTCTCAGAAACCATCTTGCATATTAAAATTACATCATGCAGAAATGTGTTTCTCTACTAAGTTTAAGTTGTTTGCTGTTATCCAAAAGCAAAGTTGTGGAAAATGATTGAACAGACTCATTTGGTAATTCATACAAATAGTGTCTCCTCCATGACAGTCTTGAACATAAACCAAATATTGAATAAACGACACAGTTTAACATAGAACACTATGGAGGAAAACACAGAAAACTTTGTTATCAAAACACAGAAAACATTGTCAAACAATCAAACATACTATCCACACTGATTTGTGTCCACACTTACATGTAAGAAGATGTACAATGATTGTGTACATGCACATTGATTGGTTGATTGATTTATGGTGTTGAACACCACTTTATACAATCTTGGCTATATCAAGGTTGGATTTCTATGACAGAAGAAGTCAGAGTACCAAGAGATAACAGACTTGGCAGGAAAACTGACAATCCTAGATCGGAGTCTTATAAACATGTCAAAAGTAGGGTTCAAACTCACAATCTCAGTGATGACATCACGGTAGATCAACTACTTAGATAACACGGCCACTGAGACCCCCTATACATATTGATATACATTTATAATCTTTGGTAGCTGTAGGATTTATTTGCTACACTTTTACGTGTATCATACCTGCCAAACAGTTTTTGATCTATAAAGGTGGAGATTATGCATGACAACTTTTTCTTTTTTTCTTTAAAAATTTGTATAAGGGTTAAAAAGAGGGGTCACTTACTATGTATGGATGGAAGATGTGCCACTGAAGTAAGTCACTATTTCTAGCTTCATAATATGTGAAAAGGTTTAGAAATTCAGATTCGGTATATAATATAAGTATCTGAATAATTTACTACTTGTAATGATACAATTAAAACCACTTTAATAAATGCAATAGACATTAGTCAAATCATTTTTTACTCTCTATAAAATTGTGTTACAAAGCTAAAGGTCGTTTTTTAAAAATGTTTAAAAAAATGAAAAGAATTGTAATTGAATGCCAAACTACCCTACCTAAAAAGGATGGATAGAAGTGCTCCCTCTTTTCATCAAATTTTACATCTACTTTTATTCATAAACATACCTTGCATATTTGTTTACTTGTGTTACAATTTGTATTAATATAAATTTGTCGTATTTGTGAATTTACTTTGCAGTGTACATTTACTTTTCCACAGTAGCAATCTATACCATTAAAAGTACAAAATCTAAAATCTTAATTTTTATGTTACATTAAATTAACGTAATGTTTATTTCTAATTCAAATTTATAAAATGTAACATTTTAAAGACTGGTCCCTCAACCGCTATCTTTTCGTGTCATATTGATTTCTTTAGCTTTAACAGCTTTGATAC